CAGGTTCTATGCAGGCAGTAGGAGAAGGAAAATAAGGAAATGGTCTTATCCAGCTGTGAAGCCTTTGAGCTACAACAAAACCATCCTTCCAGCAAGATATGACCCCCATTGCCATTTTGGTATGATTTTCATGGGAGTAGCAGACAACATTCTGATTGAATCTGAGACCTGCTTAATTGAAGAAATACATCCCAGGTATTTTAAACCTGGTCAAAATATGGCTGGGACATCACAGTTACTTGATACTATTATTTTTGTGTATGGACATAATGTTAAACTGTCTCCCAAATACTTATATTTATACCCCTAGATTAGTGATACTCTTAGCCTTTCTCAGAGAAGTTTCCACTTGCTCTGGCAAAGGTTAATGTGAAGACTCATAACAGGTCAAAGTGCTTAGACATGTACATGCTCATCCCTGAATGAAACATCCGTATCATCCACTTTAAGGAACATTGTGGCAGAGGGGATATAAAAAAAATGAAAGAGCCCCAAGATGTGGAAGAGAACTGTGGGATGCTCTCTTCTGCGTACACAGATGCTGTACCCATTAACCCACAGAAACACTGGCTACCAAAACAAGGCCAGGCCCATCAACATTCAATCACCTACTGGGGAAGGGCTCATGAAGCTCCATATGTCTCTGAAGACCTATAAAAAGATCTTGGTTTCTGGGAGAGAAACTAGTGTAGCTACTTAGTAACTTCCCTTTGCTCTAGTAAATATGCCTCTATCTGGGATCAGGTAAGTAATCCTAATTAAACTTAGTAGGTAAATAAAATAGACACCAGATAAGGGGGGAAATTAAGAAGAAGGGATTTACTGAGAGGATGAAAGTGGTAAGAGGCAGTGGTATATGGGACTATATCAAAGTATATTGTGTAAATAAATATATCTGACCTTACGAAAAACTAGACTGAAAAAAAAATAATTCAAAGCCAAAGAAATGATCAATTGATTATAATGTTCAAACAGAAATTTGAAATACACAAAAGAACCAAAAGATTTTTAACAAAGAGGTAAGTTTTAACAATTATTAAACAGAAGATAATAAGTTAATATTGATGATCCAAGATCCAATAGTCCTATATCCCCCAAAGAAATAGAAGCAGTCATCAAAAGTCTGACTTCAAAAAAAAAAAAAAGAAAAAAAAGAAAAGAAAAGAAAAGAAAAGAAAAAGCCCAGGGCAAGGTGGTTTCAGCTCGAAATTCTACCAGACCTTCAAAGAAGAGCTAACACCAATACTCTTCATAATATTCCACAAAATAGAAATAAAAGGAACATTACCAAACTCATGCCACAGTTACCTTGATACCTAAACCACACAAAACACCCTACAAAGAAAGAGAACTTCAGACCAGTCTTGCTTATGAACATTGTTCCAAAAATACTCAATAAACTCCTCACAAACTGAATCAAAGAACATATTACATATATCATCCACTGCAAACAAATAGGTTTCATCCCAGGAATGCAGGTGTAGTTCAATATATGAAAATCTATCAATGTAATCCAACATATAAACAAACTAAAAGAAAAAAAACATATGATTATCTCCTTAGATGCTGAAAAAGCATTTAAGAAAATCCAACACCTGTTCATGTTTAAATTTTTGGAGAGATCAGGGATACAAGACACATACCTAAACACAGTAAAAGCAATAAACACCAAGCCTATAGCCAACAACAAACTAAATGGCGAGAAATTTAAATCAATCCCACTGAAATCAGGATAAGGGCAAGGCTACCCACTCTCTCCTTATCTCTTCAACATAGCTCTTGAAGTCCTAACTAGAGCAACTAGACAACTAAAGGAGATCAAGTGGATGCAAATTGGAAAGGAACTCAAAGTATCACTATTTGCAAATGATATGATAGTATACATGAGTGACCTCAAAATCTCATCCAAATAACTCCTTCAGCTGAAAAACAAATTAAGTAAAGTAGCTGGATACAAAATTAATTACAAAAAAATCTAAAGCACTCCTGTGTATAAAAGACAAACAGGGTTAGAAAGAAAATAGGGAAACAACACCTTCCACTTTTGTCATAAATGACATAAAGTACCTTGGTGTGACTCTAACCAAGCAAGTGAAAGACCTATTTGAATAAACTTCAAGTCTTCTGAAGAAAGAAATTGAAGAAGATAACAGAAGATGGAAAGATCTCCATGTTCATGGATCAGTAGGATTAACATAGTGAAAATGGCCATCTTTCCAAAAGCAATCTACAGATCCAAAGCAATCCCCATCAAAATACCAGCAAAATTTTTTACATACCTTGAAAGAACCACTATCAATTTCATTTGGAAAAACAAAAAAAACAGAATTGTTAAAACAATCCTGTACAATAAAAGATCTTCTGGAGGTATCTCCATCCCTGATCTCAAGCTGTACTATAGAGCGTTAATAATAAAAACTGCATGGTACTAGCATAGAAACAGAATGGTAGATCAATGGACTTGAATTGAAGACCCAGAAAAAAGCTCATACACCTATGCAAACTTAATTTTTGACAAAGAAGCCAAAACCATACAAAGGAAAAAAAGACGGCATCTTCAACAGTGCTGGTCTAACTGGATATCTATGTTATACTCAGTTTGTGAGACTTGCAAAGACCACCAGGAATCGACTCTGTTGCACACACATGAGGGTTTAATACAAGCTTGAGCCCAGGTGGCAAGCTCTGGGAAACAGAGACGTATGTGGTCCTGAGGTCTGGGGGAACAGGGTTTTTAAAAGGCAGAACTGCAAGCGGGGAATTTCCAAGCCTTGGTTTATTTTAGGCACCAAGGCAATCTGGTGGGTATCTGCTCCTGTTAGGGAGGGGGAACGAATAGCATTTCTTGTGTTTTTTTCTTAATAGCAGTGCTTTGTGAACTTGGTGACCAGCTAGGGGCTATCTGGGTGGGAGACTGCCAGCCATCTGGTCTGGTTACCAAGCAATGATATCTTTCAAGGCCCTCAAGTCTGGGCAGGCGGGTCTGTCTTAACTTGTCAGCTTCTTTCTCTAAACTTGTACTACTCAGGACTACAGTCATTTTGCCTCAGGAATTAAATTTCAAAATTTGGACCTCTCATCTACATGTAGGAAAATGCAAACAGACCCATATTTATTACCATATAAAAAGTTAAATCCAAGTAGATCAAAGACCTCAAGATAAAATGAGACACACTTAATCGGTGTGAAGAAAAAGTGGGGAAAAGCCTTGACCTCATTGGCACAGGAGACAACTTCCTGAACAGAACACCAACAGCATAGGCTCTAAAATCAACAATCAATAAATGGGACCTCATGAAACTGAAAAGCTTCTGTAAAGCAAAGGACACTGTCTTCAGAACAAAACGACAGCATACAGATTGGGAAAGAATCTTCACCAACCCTATACCTGACAGAGGGCTAATATTAAGAATATATAAAGAACTCAAGAAGTTAAACAGCAACAAATCAAGTAATCCAATTAAAAAATGAGGTACTAATTTTTTAAACAGAGTGCTAAACAGAGAATTCTCTGTAGAAGAATAATAGAATGGCAGAGAAACACCTAAAGAAATGCTCAAAGTCCTTAGTCATTAGAAAAATGCAAATCAAAACAACCCTGAGAGTCCACCTCACACCCAATAGAATGGCAAAGATCAAAAACTCAAGGGATGACCCATGCTGAAGAGGGTGTGTAGAAAGGGGAACCCTCCTCCATTGCTGGTGGGAATGTGATCTTGTACAACCACCTTGGAAATCAATCTCGTGCTTGCTCAGAAAATTAGAAATAGTCCTACCTCAAAAATCCAGATATACCACTCCTGGGCATATATCCAAAAGATGCTCAAGTACACAACAAGGACATTTGCTCAGCCATGTTTGTAGTAACTTTATTTGTAATAGCCAGAAGCTGGTAACAACCAGATGTCCCTCAATGGAAGAATGGATACAGAAATTGTGGTACATCTACACAATGGAATATTACTCCTGGGCATATATCTGAAAAATGTTAAACCATTCAACTAGGACATTTGCTTAACTATGTTCATAGCAGCATTATTCTTACTAGCCAGAATCTGGAAACAACCTAGATGTCTCTGAACTGAAGAACGGATGCAGAAATGGTGGTATATTTACAGAATTGAATACTACTCCTAAATTAAGAACTGATACTCTAACCAAGGACGATGCATGGTGAGGACCTATACTCCCTGCTTAGTTTCCAAGTGGGTTCTGTAGTAAGGGCAGCAGAGGCTGATGCTGACATGAACTCAGTGGCCTGCTATTTGATCACCTTCTCCTGGGGGTTGCAGCCTTGTCAATCCCCAGAGGAAGATGATAAGACGAGATAGGCTAAGGTCAGTTAGAAAGGGAGGAGGTCTTCCCCTATCAGTGGACTAGGGAAGGGGCATAGGGGGAGAAGAGGGAGAGAGGATGGGACTGGGAGGATATGGAGGGGGCTACACCCAGGGTATAAAGTGAATAAACTGTAATCAATCAATCAATCAATCAATCAATCAATAAGCAAACAAAATAAACTATGAAAAAAAGTTTATACCATGCAAACCAGGGGAATTGAGGAAAGATAAACTAATCTAGAATTATGCTGTTTATATTGACCTCCAACTTTTGAAAAGGTCATAATCTATTCAGCGGACCAATGATACTTTTTTTTTTTTTAATTGGCCCACCTGGGTTTTTTTTATACAGTTCAATAGAAGTGACACCAACGTAGTAAAGGTGATATTGCTGAGGTGTTACAGGTGGACAGTGGTAAGCCAGCACGTGGGAGATGGGTGCTATTGAATAAGGAATTCTAGGCAAGCCTCAGATACAAAGAGTTCAAGGCCAGCCTGAAATACATGAGACCCTATCTCAAAGAAGGGGAAAAAAAAAGATCGGTAATATTCCAGTTTGGAAGTCTCCATATCCATTCCTGATTCCCAATCCAGTGGCTGCCAAAGACAGAAGGGGTTGAGGAGAGTACTTGGTCATAAGGAACACTGTTTAGCAGGTGGGAACAAGGTTTCACTTCTTCACAATCTGAATGACGTCTTCATCTTCCAGCGTATGGGCTTTCCCCACTTTCTGAGGATTGTGTTTCACAGAGAGACCCCAGACCAAAGCATATTTAAATTCTTTGATAAGGTTTTTGTGAATCTTCATGCAGAAATCTTCCACTGTGGTCCTTGAGTAGGGCAGCACCACCGGAGAGGTGTAATCTGGTAACTGGCCTTTGGGTTTGGTGTAAATTCTCACTAGTTTCAGATAGTCCCAGATCTTCTCCAAGTGAGGCACCTTATAGATGATATCCAATTCCTCAATGGAGATCTGATCAATCTTATTTAATACATAGATACACGGGATATAAACTCTGTTTCCTTCTACCACCTCAATGAGGTCATCAGCTGTGGCATCACTACGGAAAGTCACATCGGCATTATGGATTTTGTATTCAGCCAGAATGCTCTTCACCATCTCAGCATCCAGTTCACTCTGAGGGCATGTGGCTGTGAGATTAATGCCTCCCTTGTCTTTCTTCTTAAAGCCAATGTTGGGGGGTTTGCTGTTCAAGCAAATCCCAAAGCCTTCCAACTCATTTTCAATTATCTTCTTATGTCCTAAAGGTTTTAGGACATCCAGAACAATCAAGATCAAATTACAAGTGCGGGCCACTGCAATGACTTGACAGCCTCTACCTTTCCCATCCTTGGCATCTTCAATAATACCTGGGAGATCCAGGAGCTGGATCTTGGCACCTTTATATCTGATGACACGAGGCACAGTGGTCAAAGTAGTAAATTCGTAGGCTGCCACTTCAGAATAAACTCCTGCTAGGTTACTTAGCAGAGTTGACTTCCCCACAGATGGAAAACCCACAAATCCAACTCGAGCATCACCTGTCTTGGCCACATCAAAACCTTCTCTGGGCCCACCACCACCGCCACCTTTTGGAGCAATGAGTTCTCTTCGAAGCTTAGCAAGTAGAGCCTTAAGCAGCCCAAGGTGATGTGCTGTAGCTTTGTTCTTCTGAGTCCGAGCCATCTCGGCCTCGATCTCCGCGATCTTCGCTAAGGTCCCGCTCATGGTGGCAAGGGCTCGAGGCCGCGCTGGCCTTCCCACTTGCTAGATTTCCATACGCTCCCCCAATGATACTTTTAATGAAATAATCCATAATCTTATGCAGCAAAAAGAGCCTCATTCTATTTCTTGCCTTTTGTAAAATTAATTGCCTATTGTAGACTAAAATTATTGTCTAACATTCTTAATATTCTAGGAGACAATATTGGAAATCCTCTGTGATAATGGTTTAAGAAAAACATTTTTTAGATATAACAAAAATCATACTCATTAAAAATAGAAACTGATTAACTGGACTTCATCAAAACTACAAACTTCTGTTTGCAGGACACACAACCAAGAGGCTGGAAGAAATATACTATGATGTTACAAGATTTATATCCTAACTATATAATACTATACACACAGATATATGGATATCCCGAATATATAAATTGGATTTCATTAATCTGATTTTTAAAACTGGGTTAAGGATTTACATAGACTTTTTACTCACAGAGACAATGGGTGGCAGGCACTAAGCAGATAAAAATATGCTCAAACTCATTCTTTATTGGGGAAATGAAGGTTACAAACATTTGGTGCGTGTTCCGTCATACATCCACTCCATCTGCTAAAAGTGACAAAACTATATCAAAGGTTGGCAAGAATGTGGTCCAACTGGAATCCTTATATATTATCTGTGGACATGTAAAATGTCAAAGAATTGGAAAACCAAGAGCTTCTTAAAATTTAATTGTCTTTCCCCCACATAATCCAAACATTCTATACTTTTTTCATCCAAGAAAAATAAAAGCATGTGTCCATACAACGATTTGTACATAAGTATTTGTATCGGCTTCCCTTCCTCATTCCCCACTTCCAAACTCATTCCCTTTCTCCCTTTCTTCATCACATTTTCTCAGGCTGGTTCTGAGCTCCTGATCTTAAGTGAATCCATCTGCTTCAGGTTCCACACTCACTGGTCCCCCGAACCTGATTCTTTCTGTCTCTTGGTATGTTATAAATACACCTGCCTGCTAATGCACAACAGAAGGTGCAGAGATGACATTGTACACAACTGACATATGTTTGGAAGCTGAACATCTCACAGGGAGAATAGCAAACCAAGGTGGGTGACCAGCAGGAAAACACAGACAGTATCCAGAGCATTTATCACTTGTTTGCTGAGGGAGAACTAGAAACGCATCTTACTCAGAGCTAGTTGTCCCCCAAGCCCTGGCGTTTTCCTGGTCCAGAGACCTGAGTTGCCTTTGGCATGCATCTGGGTACAGCTCACACCATTTGTGTTCCTGCAGGCAAACCTGGACAGCACAAAGGTGGCTGGGTGCATGCCTGAGTTGAGTTTAGTCAATTTATTGCATGTCTTCTATCTTTGTCTGTAAGGTGCTGCGAGCACACGAATTTGGTGCATGGGTTGTTCCTACAGCACATGAACCAATATGGGCTCTGGGATAATGCAATTGGCAAATCTCACCCCAGGAAACGATGGACTGCTGAATGGTTGCATCTCTTTATGAGGTTCAGGTGCAGCCACTAGCACACATCCTAGCAGCAGAGAATCTCATCATCATTGAAAGCTGTCTTCATGTCTTGGTAATAGGATTCATTGTGGAGTCTCTTAGTAAAGTCCACAAGGTCAAAAATGCCTGCAACAAAGTTTCTTAGTTGTGATTTGTGAATTGATACTCATATCCTGAAGGTACAGACAACTTTGACCTGGAGATGGTAATGTTGAAGCCTGGTGATAACATCTTCGAGACTTGTATAGCATCTTTCTAAAACATGCACTGGACTACAGATTCTACACAGTGAAATATTTTCCTCACCCTGCACAGGAAACTCCTACATCTGACCCTAAGTCTCATCACCTTTTACGGGTTGAGAGAGGCTCTAGAAAGGAAAGTATGGTGCCATTGATTCATATGGGGAAAATTATCTTTCTGTGCACAGGATATCCCTGTCCATCACCAGCTTATTTGCCATAGGTCTTACTGCAGAAAACAAGGCTTTTGTAGTACCACAGCCAGTGAAGTGGAGCAGGTACTCCCCCTACAGCAATAACGGCCTGGCAGGGCCACAAGCAGCACAGCTCACAGGTCCTGCTCTTATTAATGGCAGCAGAAACAAGGGTGGTGAGGCCTTCGGGCCCACACTCTTCTATGTGTTAGAAGGTAAGGCAGGAAATGGGGCATGTTTTGGGGGGGTTGGTCTGATATGCCATGCCTCCCAAATCTGGCTGCAGTCCAGATGTGGAGGTGGGTGTAGTTATGTTTATTGATCAATGTTGTGTAAACCTTGCTCCCCAATTTTCTCTGATTGGTTAATAACAAAGCTGATAGCCTTTTAGCTGAAGCAGGAAATAAGAAGGTGGGAGTTCCAGGAAGAGATAAACTATGGGACATAGAGGCAACGGATGTCATTCTATCTTGTTGTGTGTCTTGTACCCAACCCCCTGCATTCTGAGCAAGAAGGGCACACGAAACTGAAGAGAGGTAACCAGCCATGTGGCACACATAGAATAGAATAAATGGGTAATTTAAGTTATGAGCTAGTCTGGAATGAGCTAAAGCTGTCGTTCATAAAATAATAAAAATCTCAGGGTTGTTATTTTGGGAACTGGGACACGAGGAGAAAAACCTGTGGTTACAAATGCAAAGTTACAACTGTTGACCTCACAGATAGTAACACAGAATCAGCTTCTTTTGTTACCTTACAGCAATTTTATTTGCAATAGCCCAAATCTGTAAACAATTTAAATGCTCATAATAATGTGAGCAGATAAACAGTTTAATCAATAGAATGGAATGCTATAAAAAAGAAATAAAGTATCAATGTATGCTGCAACATAAATGAACCCCCAAATGATTATACTAGTAACTTTAAAGAGCCAGGAAGAAATAAGACTCTACCATTCCTTTAAGTGTTTCTCTGCCATTTGATATTCCTCTACTGAGAATTCTCTATTTGGCTCTATACCCCATTTTTAACTGGATTACTTGATTTTCATTTAAACAATTAATTTTTAATTTTTAAAACAATTAATTTTTAATTGGAATACTTGATTTGTTGCTGTTTAACTTCTTGAGTTCTTTATATATTCTGGATATCAGCCCTCTGTCAGATAAATGATTGGTGAAGATCCTTTCCCACTCTGTAGGCTGTCGTTTTGTTCTGACAACAGTGTCCTTTGCTTTACAGAAGCTTTTCAGTTTTATGAAGTCCCATTTATTGATTGTTGATCTTAGAGCCTGTTCTGTTCAGGAAGTTGTCTCCTGTGCCAATGAGTTCAAGGCTCTTCCCCACTTTTTCTTCTAAGTGGTTTAGTGTGTCTATTTTTATGTTGAGGTCTTTGATCTACTTGGACTTTGGTTTTGTGCAGGGTGATGAGTATGGATCTATTTGCATTTTTCTACATGTAGGCATCAAGTTAGACCAGCACCACTAGTTGAAGATGCTGTCTTTTTTCCATTGGATGGTTTTGGCATCTTTGTCAAAAATCAGGTGTCCATAAGTGTGTGGATTTATGTCAGGGTCTTCTACTGATTCCATTGATCCACCAGTCTGTTTCTATGCCAGTACCATGCAGTTTTTATTACTGTTGCTCTATTGTACTGCTTGAGATAAGGGATGGAGCTACCTTCAGAAGATCTTTTATTGTAGAGGATTGTTTTAGCAATTTTGGGTTTCTTGTTATTCCATATGAAGTTGAGGGTTTTTCTTTCAAGGTCTGTAAAGAACTGTGTTGGTAATTAGATCGGAATTGCATTGAATCTGTAGATTGCTTTTGGTAAGATGGCCATTTTTACTATGTTAATCCTGCTAAGCAATGAGTATGGGAGATCTTTAAATCTTCTGATATTTTCTTCTATTTCTTTTTCAGAGACTTGAAATTATTTTCATATAAGTCTTTGACTTGCTTGGTTAGAGTCACACCAAGGTACTTCATGTCCTTTATGGCCATTGTGAAGGGTGTTGTTTTCCTAATTTCTTTTTTAGTCCTTTTGTCTTTTGTATACAGGAGGGCTACTGATTTTTTTGAGTTAATTTTGTATCCAGCCACTTTGCTGAAGGTGTTAATCAGCTGTAGGAGTTTCCTGGTAGAATTTTTTGGCTCACTCATGTATAATATCAGGTCATTTACAAGAGTGGTACTTTGACTTCTTCCTTTCCAAACTGAATCACTTTGATCTCCTTTGTCTTATTTCTTTAGCAAGGACTTCAAGAACTATGTTGAAGAGATATGGAGAGACTGGGCAGCCTTGTCTTGTCTCTTATTTCAGTGGGGTTGATTTAAGTTTCTCCATTCAGTTTGATGTTGGCCAAAGGCTTTCTGTATATTGCCTTTACTATGTTTAGGTAAGTGCCTTTTATCCTTAATCTCTCCAGGACTTTATACATAAACAAATTTTGAATTTTATCAAATGCTTTTTCAGCATCTAAGCAGATCATCATGTGGTTTTTTTTCCTGTTTTTTAAATTAAATTCTTATTTTTTACAAAAATTACATTTTATTCGCTTTTTATTCCAGGTGTAGCTCCCTCCCTCTTTACCTCTCAATGCCACCCTCCCTCCCTCATCTCCTCCCTTGCCCCTCTCCAAGTCCACTTATAACAGAGGCCTACCTCCTTTTCCATCTGACCCTAGCTTATCAGGTCTCAACAGGACTGGCTACATTGTCTTCCTCTGTGTCCTGGCAAGGCTTGTCCTCCCTTGGGGTGGGGTCAAAGAGCCAGATGTACTTTTTTCTTTTAGCCTTTTTATATGGTACATTACATTGATGGACTTCTGTATATTGATCCATCCCTGCATGCCTGGGATGAAACCTACTTGGTCATAGTGGATGATATCTTGGATGTGCTCTTGGATTTGGTTTGTGAATATTTTTTTTTTTTTACGAACATAATCTATTTTTTTTTTTTTAACAAAAGTAATGTTTTGGGGACTCTTAAATTCTTACTTAGTCAGCACACTGAGCTTATTGTCCTTTTTTTTTTTCTTCTTCAGTTTTTTAAAAATTTTTTATTAATTACACTTTATTAATTTTGTATCCCCCCA